ACAATCCCTTTGATCTTCTCCCTTGAACATGTGTAATAGCATAAAAACAGTCATAAAACAGGAAAAAAAACCCTGTGTCTTTGTACACATATTGCAATGACCTGGGAGAATTCTCCTGGGTTTGTTCTGGTAGAGAGACTTACCTGGAGACACCTAAACAGACATTCAAATGCTGAGCCCCTGAACATCACTGCATAGCCTTATGCACATATTTCAGCCTACTCTTCAGGCTTCCTCAGTCTGCCTGGAGACAGATGACAATCATGCACAGGGCTTCCCTGAGCTGATCCAGATGGCTCAGAGTCCACTTTTGTCTCCTTGCTACACAATGCAAGGATTGTAAAGAGGGTGTGTTCTTCTCCCTGCTTGGATGGAGAAGTAATGTCCAGGGAGTAGCATGCTGTTTTCCTGGGGGGGTGGGAGCAAAACACCTTGGAAAGCTGGGGGATTGTGCTGTGAATTCCATCAGAAGACAATATGTACTGACCTTCAATCTCCCAAAAGAAACTCTCCTGGGACTGAATTAACTCTGGTTAATCCTAGGTTATTTTTCTCCTAGAGTGGCCATTTTTGTTCTGAGAGAAAACTCCTGAATATCTGTACATTCATAATTTCTTCTGGAAATGGAATGTCTGCACATAACTTATGTGCAAGTTAAATCAACACTGTAATGGAGCTAACTGGCTACCCAAGGAAATAAATGCATTTGGACATTGGTTGAGTTTGAGGGGTCTATTGAGGGTCTTAGCTTAATCAGAGTCTTTAAATCAGCCAAATTAAACTCCTAATTTGTCTGACATGTTATTACTTTTAAATGTAGCTGTGTTGTGCCACCATGCATTATGTTATGGTAAGTTAAATGCATGGTTATTTGGGTGATAAGCTTTCATTGACAAGATAGCTAGATGGTTATTTTGTAATGAGTAATATAATAAAAAAGGAAATCAAATTATGATTTCTCAAATATTTTATTATTAAATTTTTTGCAAATACTTCTTGTTTTGTAGTTGCATGCTACAATGTATTGTGGATTTTAGTATAACCTTTATTTGAAGTTAGTTTTGTTTAGACATATAAGTTTTACATTTCTATTCCTGGATGAAAGAATGTCATTCTTGAGTGTCGATACACACATGCACAAAATTTACTTCTTGCATATATTCTCTAATATTTGTTTAAAATGTGTAGTTTCCATAAGGATTCTTTCCAGTAGATCATTTGCAAAAGACATTCACCAAAAGGTGAATCAAAGTGAATTCAATTTTCTGTTGAAGCAAATATTCCTGGACATATTTTTGAGGTAATGTATTTGCTGAGGTTTACTAAAAAATTAACATAATTATCTCAGGAGTGAGAAGAGTAAACAGAATGAGCAAATCTGAAAAATAAATCCCAGATTTTTAAACTTAGATGCATAATCATCTGAAGTCAGTTTTCTGAGTCCTGATTTTCAAAGGGTTTGTGTTCATGCAAGGATAAGCAACTCTAAAAGTCTATCCATTCTGAGTACCTAACATGAATTTAGGTCTTATTGAATTTTATAGGACTTTTCTATCAGGAATGAAACAAACAAATTACACTCTCCTGCCTTTCCAGTCCTAATTTAGCATATCTGAACAATGAAAGTTTCCATTGTTTCATTGCAGTGATTGTGATTGTGTGCTAATAGGGAAAGGACAGATTTCAAGGGAAGGTCACAGGCATTACAAAGATTTGTGTTTCTGTGTATTTGCCCCTAATATTTTCCCCTTTTAGTTACCAGTAGCAGCTGCATATTAAATGACTTCCCCCTTTAAACTGTTAAGTGGTGCTAGTTCAGTTTTTATCGGTGAGTTGCCAGTAGACTCGGGGGAGAAGTGCTATCTCCTATGGCCCTGAAAATTGATATTGAACATGGAAGGAAAAATCTCACAAGCTGATAGCAATTAGCTAAAAAGGATTTGCGACTCCATGATTCATCACACTAGGGGATCAAAGTCATTTACAGACAGTGTTTCCATAGTCCCTGCATGCTGCTCTAAAGATATACCTCTGTTTATCTCTCACACTGCAGTGTGACATTTCCTTTTTTAAGAGCCCATTTTCTTAGAAACATAGCAGTAGGCTGCTGCAGCACAAGCAGTCTTTGATTCTCCACTGACTGTCTAAATGACACCATGGCTCTAATGGCAGGGCATTAGCATGAGTTCAAGATGGGAATTTGACTTATTATTTACATAAGTGGAAAGACAGGTCAGGTCTGGTATTTACTTATAAAGAGGGGAAAAAGTCTTTTTGTGGCAAGTTGTCATAGACTAGCTTATGTTCCTGGAGTTCTCCAAATCTTTTAAAATTGAAACGTGTTTTTTCACTTAGGGCTATGTCAGGGACCCAGGCCAGATTTGCTGGTGGATTTTGGGTGGGGGGGATTGGAAAGGGATTGTTACAGGGATAAAAATAGCTTGGTCAGCATCATGGGGATAAAAAGAGCACATCCCCAGGGCTGCAGAGAGTGGCTGGGCCTTCCAAGCCCCAAGACTGTGCTGGGGATGTGTGCAAGGAATGAAAGTCTTTGCTCATTTTAATGGGCCAGCCATCAGTAGCTACTGTGGAATTAATTCTGTATGCTTGTTGTGTCTGTTTTTATTTTAATTTTTTCATTATTACTATTATTTATTTAGGTCTAGAATTCCACATGTAAGGCAGGAATTTCAGTTCTCCTACACCTAGCTGTAAGTCATGTTACATTTGTGGCAAAAGACAGCAAAAGAAATCACAATGATCTAAGAACACTGACACACACTTTGGACCAACATAACACAATTGAAAATAATGACCTAAGGTACAGAACAGTGGAGAACAAGACCTGTATTTATTCTGAGGTTAATTCTTGAACAACCAAGGATTCTGCTTCAGAAGAGCTAGAGTAAGCATGTTATCTTAGCCCATCCTAACCATTGATCAACCAATGTTTAGGGGAGGTCGACATTGCAAAGGTACAGTGCCCTAATTTCTTTCTCTTCCCTTTGCCTTTTTCCCAAGGGACTCATCCCTTTGCCTAACATTTCAAGATACATAAAGTTGCTGCTAATTACTCTGGTTGAGATTTCAGCCCCAGTTGTTAGGGTGAATAACAGAAACCTTGTCTATTATGCACTCTAGAGTCTATGAAGTCCCTTCTTAGTTTGCTGAGCCAAAACTGCTTCACATGTTTTTCATAATTTCATATTTTCTACGGCAGACCTATTTCCTTTATGCAAATTTTCTGGTCATGTTTTGGATTTTAAATTGACTCCAAAAATGAAACTTTTGATCTAAGTGATGGAGCAAATATGTACATTCAAAATTATAAATCAAAGAAAAAGAATGTATACATGTGTCAGCTTATGCCCTGTCTTATATAAAACAGATTAATACAGGCATTAGGCAATAAAAGGCTGCACAGCAGGTATTTAAAGATGAAATAACTCAACATTCTAATTTATCATTTCAGTATTATTATCACTGAAATAAATGGGACTACTCCCAGAGAAAAATAGCATTTACTACAAGCTAGTGTGATAGCATCAAACCTTTAGGAAACATTTGTACTTAACAGATGTTAATTAGATTTTAATAGACCTAGATCTCTATGTCATAACTGTGGTGGCATCAAAGGGGTTAAAATCTATGTAATATGCTAGCAAATGCATGCAGTGTGTCTTTATGGGCTATTTCCCTTCTAATGTTGCATGTCATTGCCATATACAGACTGTGATGATGACAAACAGCAAGATATAAAAAGTAAGAAAGAAGGATAACTATACTTGATCTCTTTTTTATTTTTAGATGAAATAGTTCACTACATAGTATTGCATCATTTCCTACTGAATCTAAAGCTCAATTTATTTATATCTGATATGCTATTTGCCACATGAATGCAAGTTCTTTCCAGTTTAGTATACTATCTATTTAATGATCAGTTCTTATTAAATGAATGCATACCAAATTTGTAACATATTATACGATTTATTCCCTGAATTAAAATAAAAATAAATATTGTAGTCTAAGAGCTTTGCACCTCTAAGCATTCAAGTGTAATTTTTCAAGTGCACTTACAAACAGTTTGGATTTTATTTCCATGTCTGGCAATAGAATCTTCCAGTTAGGTGCATCCCCATTGGAAGGAAACTAGGGAGGAAGATAACACTCCCACCTTCTGGCCCAATAATCAAGTGTCAAGGCACTTGCTCAGGGAGCAGAAGACCCATTTTTTAGGCAGTAGGAGTGCGTCCACATATGCAGGCACATGCACTTACAGCAGCTCAAAGAAGGGTGGTACACATTTGTGCTGGGGATTTTTGCCTCAGCGCATGTGCCTGAATATGCACTTTAGTGTGGGGCAAGTTGTGCTACTTGGAGTAAACTGACTCTGCCCAACTCCACCCAGATTTGCAGCCAGCGAGAGCCAAAGTATGGGGCCAGCACACGTGCTGGCCCCAGCAGTATAAAAAACTGCCCTGGCAACCAGCTTAGGGCTGCTTGCTCTCAAGGGCTTCTGGGGTGGCTCCTTGGATACCTTTGAGGACCAGTAGGTGTGGCCCAAGGGGCTCTACTTGGTGCCCCTCTCAGGCACACGTCTTTTCATGTTTTGACCCTTTGACCCACACAACACTCCTATCCTGTTTTTTTCATAGTTGTCCCAAGAATTTAGTTGTACCACTCATTCATTCACCTGACATGGGGTTACTAGTTAGCCAGGTGAGCCTTACGGCCCATGGTATGAGTGTTACAAATAGACAGGGGCTTCTGGGGTAGCTCCTTGGATGCCTTTGATGGGCCAGTGGGTGAGGCAGGGGGGGCTCTGCTCGGTGTCCCCCTCAAGTGCACTTCTTTCCCTGTTTTGACCCTTTGACCCCCATGACACTCCCACCTTGGTTTTGCCTTAGTTGTCCCAAGCATTTTGTTGTGTTATTTATTCATTGGCCCCACACCATAGGGGCCACTAGTTAGTCAGGTGGGCCTTAGGGCCCATGGCATTTGGGTAACATAAATAGTAGGGCTATGCGAAGCCGTGGGTGCTTATTCGATTCAGAGGAGTTTTGGCCTGATTTAGTGGCCCAATCTCCAAATCCAAATCAAATCAAAGTCCAAATCATTTTGAAGCTCTCTCTTTGGAAAAGACTTGCAGAGCTTTGATGTTTTGATCAGTCCCTGCCTGCTGCAGTAGGGAGCTGGAGCCAGACTCCATGACGTGGGGCTGGAGGAGGCAGGAGTGGACCATGGGGGGACCCCTGCCACGTCCCATCCCCTGCATGCTCTCCCATCCCTCTGACCCCTGCCTGCTCTCCCAGCCCCACCATGGATGCCCCACCCGCCCCAGTTCCTAGCCCTTTAAAAAAAAGCCCCAACTTACCAGAAGCTGCTGCACAGAGGGAAATCCCCACTGCCCCTTACTGCTCCACACTGCATGGGGGAACTCTGCATGAGCCCCTTGACTCCCCCTGACTCCCCCAGCCGCCCCCCCAGCTGCCTTGCCCACCCCAACTCCGGCCTTTTAAGAAAAAACAAAGAGAAAAACCCTGGGACTCACTGCTCCTGTAGTGGCCCTGGGGCTTCAGGGGGCTCTTGGCAGATCCCCCCACACAGCACAGGACAGTGGGAGGAAGTTAGGATGCCCCTCCCCCCCAGCAGGAACTGGTGAGTCTGGGGGGTTTTCTCAGTTTTTTTTTCCTTAAAGGGCCGGAGCACCCCGTGCAGCATGGGACAGTGAGGATTGCCCCCCACCCCCCATGCAGCAGCATCCAGTGAGTTGTGGGGGTGGTTCAAAGTGCCGGGAGCTGGGGCGCACAGGGCGGCCATTGCTGGGCTGGGACAGCAGGCGGGAGATGCGCCTGAGTGATTGGGAGATTAACAGATTTGGCAGCAGCCGAATCTCCAAACCAGATTTGGCTGAATCAATTCAGGACAGTGATTCAAATCACTGAATCGGCCAAATCTGAAGCAAATACTAGCCACTTTGCACAGGCCTAACAAATAGAAAGGATTTTCTGTGGACCTTCTGACCCTCACGTCACTCTTATCCTGTTTTTTACTTTTGTTGTCCCAAGAAATTTAGTTGTATCTCTCAGTCATTGGCGCAACACAGTAGGGGCTATTAGTTACTTGGGTGGCCCTTACGGGGCCCTATGTAAAAAACTAGGGGACTGTGGTGTCGACACCTACACAGTCAAATGGGTCACTAGCTGGCTAGAGGGCCGCACCCAGAGAGTGTTGGTGGATGGGTCATTCTCAGCCTGGAGGGATGTGGGCAGCGGGGCTCTGCAGGGCTCAGTCCTCGGGCCTGCACTGTTCAACATCTTCATCAGCGACTTGGACGAGGGGGTAAAAAGCACCCTGTTCAAATTCGCAGATGACACTAAGATGTGGGGGAAGTCGGCATGCCAGAAGGGAGGAATAGGCTGCAATTGGACCTAGACAGGTTACAGGGGTGGGTGGATGAGAACAGGATGGGTTTCAACACTGACAAGTGCAAAGTGATGCACCTGGGGAGGAAGAACCAGCAGCATACCTACAGGCTGGGGAACTCCCTTCTTGTCAGTGCAGAGGCAGAAAAGGATCTTGGAGTCATTATTGATGCCAAAATGGACATGGGCCAACAGTGGGGGGAAGCGGTCAGGAACCCCCCCCACACCTTGTCATGCATCCACAGATGCATCTCAAGCAGGTCCCCGCAGGTGATCCTCCCCTTTATGTGGCACTTGTCAGGCAGCAGTTGGAGTACTGTGTCCGGTTCTGGGCGCCGCACTTCAGGAGGTATGTGGACAACATGGTGAGGGTCCAGAGAAGGGCCACTTGCATGATAAGAGGGCAGCAGGGCAGGCCCTACAAGAAAAGGCTCAGGGACCTGAACCTGTTCAGCCTCCAAAAGAGAAGGCTGAGGCAGGATCTAGTGGCTGTTTACAAACTAGTCAGGGGGGACCAGTGGGCACTGGGGGAGTCCCTGTTCCCCCAAGCACTCGCAGGAGTGACAAGAAATAACGGTCACAAGCTGGCAGAGGGTAGATTCAGGCTAGATATCAGGAGACACTACTTCATGGTCAGGGCGGCTAGGATCTACAACTAACTTCCAAGAGAAGTGGTGCTGGCTTCTACCCTGGGGGTCTTTAAGAGGAGGCTAGATGAACACCTTGCTGGGGTCGTTTGACCCCAGTACTGTTTCCTGCTATGGCAGGGGGTCAGACTTGATGGGCAGGTCAGGTCCCTTCCAACCCTACAAACTATGAAACTATGAAATATGAAGGATAAAATTAGGAGCTCTTGGGGTGACTCCTTGGATGCCTTTGAGGACTGGTGAATGTGTTCTGGGGGGCTCTGCTTTGTGTCCCTCTCTGGAGCACTTATTTTTCACATTTTGACCCTTTAGCTCCCACATTTTGACCCTTTAGCTCTCACTCCTATCATGCTTTTTACTTAGTTGCCTCCCCACAATAAATAAATAAAATTAGTTGTATCTTTCACCCATTGGCCCCACACAGTGGGAGCTATTAGTTAGATGGGGGGACCTTAAGACCCAATGTTAACTGGAAGATACAAATTGAAAGGAGCTTCTGAGGCCTGACACATGGGTTTACCCAAGATGCATGCCACCTGCCGTCTAGTCCAGGAGGTGAAATCTGCCTTACCTTCCAATGACCTTTCCTTTGTGAACCAGGTCCTGCATGATGGTGGTCCCTGCCTCCCCTGTCCTCCAGCCCACCAGAGTTTGTTGTGGGGCCAGTGCGTCACCCAGCCTTGCGGCATTTCCTGTTGCACCACGTGAGCCAGATGGTGGATGCCAAGCTGGTTTACTTCTCCACTATCCATTGCCGCCACCTCTACATGCTTGTGTGCCGCATGATCCATCATGTTCCACCCAGACACCAAGTGGCTGGACCTGCTCAGCGAGGGCAAAGCTGGAGCACCCCAGTGGCTGAGCCTGTACTCCACCCTCATCCTACAAGCCACTGGGAACCTCAGCTGGTGGCTCCTCTGTGGAGCTGTTGCCATGGGTGCATATGTGGCTAGCTTCAGACATCCTGGTCTCCTGCCCCTTCTGTGGGCAGAGGGATACCCTGATGTACATGACACTTGAGTGCTCCAGGCGCAGCCCCTCCACCTCCATCTCCAGAAGCTCCTCCTCAGGTTCTTGTTGAACTTCACCGCCCACCTGTTTATTTTTGGGCACCCCATCTGCAGCTCCTCCAAGTTCTGGGACCTCCTGGTCAATCTCCTCCTGGCCTTGGCAAAGTGGTCCCTGTATATGACCAGAAAGAAGGCTGTGGCTGGGAAGGTTCCTGGGGACTGCAGGGCTAGATTTCTGTTACTCATCCATTCACATTTCCAGGCAGAGCACCAAGGGAGGTGTCTACCAGCTCCCTGGATACCTTTGAGGATCGGTGAGCACAGCCCAGGGGGCTTTTCTTGGTGTCCCCTTCAGGCACTTGTTTTCATGTTTTGAACCTTTGACCCACATGACACTCCTATCCTGTTTTTGCTTTAGTTTTCCCAAGAATTTAGTTGTACCACTCATTCATTAGCCCCACAAGGGGCTACTAGTTACAATTGGGTGCACAAATAGACAGCAGCTTCTGGGGTGGCTCTTTGGATGCCTTTGAGGACCAGTGGGTGTGGCCAGAAGAGCTCCGCTTGGTATCCCCCTCTGGAGCACTTATTTTCACATTTTGACCTTTTAACCCCCATGTCACTCCTATCCTGCTATTTTCTTAGTTGTCCCAAAAGAAAAAAAAAGTTGTATCTTTCACCCATTGGCCCCCACACAGTGGGAGCTATTAGTTAGATGGGGGGGCCTTAAGGCCCATGTCAATCCAAAGATACAAATAGACAGGAGCTTCTGGGTCCTGACACATTTCTTTACCCATGATGTGTGCAACCTGCTGCCTAGTCCAGGAGGTGAAATCTGCCTTACCTCCCAATGCCTTTGCCTTTGTCAACCAGGTCATGATGGCAGTCCTCACCTTCCCCATGTCCTTCAGCCCACTGGAGTTTGTCATAGGGCCAGCTCAGGCACTCCGCACTCCACCCCTTTGAGCCAGCTGGAGGACACCAAACCAATCTGCTTCTCCACCTTCCATCACTGCCACCTCTACACACTCATGTGCTGTATGATCCACCATGCCACCCTCACATCCCGCCCAGACACGAAGTGGTTGGACCTGCTCAGCGAGTGCGTAGCTGGGGCACCCCAGTGGCTGAACCTGTACTCCACCCTCATCCCATCAGCCACTGGGGACCTCAGCTGGTGGCTCCTCCATGGATCCATCCCCACTGGCTTGTATGTGCTGAGCTTTACCAGTGCCCAAGGCTCCTGCTTCTTCTGCAGGCAGAGGGAGACCCTGGCACACATGATACGCACCAGGCTGCAGCCCTTCCACCTCCACCTCTGAAACCTCCTCCTGAGGTCCTGGATGAATTTCACCCCCCACCTTTTTATTTTTGGATACCCCATCCACAGCCCCTGAAAGTCCCAGGACCCCCTGGTTAACCTCCTCCTGGCCCTGGCCAAATGGGCCCTGTACATGACCAGAAAGGAGGGTCTGGCTGGGAAGGTGCCCAGGGATTGTGGGGCCACATTCTTCTCACTGGTTCACACACATTTCCAGCGGGAGCACCACTAGGTGGCATCCACTGGCTTCTTAGACAACTTTGAGGACTGGTGGGCACAGTCCAGGGGGCTCTGCTTGGTATCCCGGCAGGAACACTCATTTTCACTTTTTGACCCTTTGACCCTCACATCACTCCTGTCCTGTTTTTTGCCTTTGTTGTCCCAAGAATTCTGCTGTGTCATCCATCCATTGGCCCCACAGAATTGGGGATACTAATTATCCAGGTGGTTCTCAGGGCCCATGATAATTGGTTGATACAAATAGTCAGGAGATTCTGGGTCCTGACCAATTGGTATCTGGTAAGACTAACCCCTTGTTCCAACAGGACTGATGAAGCAACCTTAACCTAGAGTTTTCTGCACCGTCTACCCACTGCAGCAGTCTTGCAGTGGAAGCTATTGCCTGGCTATGACCTGCTGCCATCTTCAACAGCATGAAGCCCCAAGGCTGTACTTCTGCCAAACAAGGATGGGGACTGCACAGCCACAGCAAAAACATCTGCACCTTGGGGAGAGCTTTCAGTGGGCTGAGGCTGCATAGTTGGCCTTTCCACGGTACTGCTGCCATGTATGCCTCCGCCCTGCCATCTGAGTAGCTATCATCTGGAAGATGTTCCCATGTGGTGGCCTGCTTTGAACTGTCAAAGCATGTGCTCTTGGACCCAAATGGCCAGGAAGTCAGCCACCTCATTTGCCCTCCGGCAGAGTCCAGGGTGCCAGTCCTGAGTAGGCTCCTCTGCCTGGGTCCTGCCACTTGCTTCACAAGCAGGAATCCTGGTGCTCCCTATTTAAAAACTGCACATTCTCTAATAAAAAAATCCCAAATTCACTCTTTAAAAAAAAACATAATCCATGTGGGGGGATATGGATTGGAGTGGGGGTGGTGTGAGGTGTGTGTGGGGGGGGGTTGAGGGGGGAGCCACCACACTCCCACTCCCTCCACCCCAAGCAGTGCACAGCCCTTGGTGCCAGCAGCAATAGCCAGCTGGGCTGAGCCCACTGCAGCACTGCCTGACCCATGGAAAATTCAGGTATCAAATTTAGAGGCTGTGCTGCAAATATGCAGCATGGGAAACATTTTTCCATTCTCAGCGTGCCTCTTGTGGCTTATCAAACTGGTTTGAGATGCCACAAAAGGCACATGGGTGCTCATCTGGATGTGCCCTAGGTACATGTCCACACATTCAGGCATGTGTGCTTGCAGCAGCTCAAATAGCAGTGGCACAAATTTGTGCCAGACATTTGTGCCTCAGCAAATGTGCCTGTACATGCACTTTGGTGTGGGGCAAGTTGTGCCACTTATTGCTTAGCTCCTACTGTATCTTCAGCCAGGGGAAGCTAGAGGCTCAATCCAGCACCTGTGCTGGCCCCAACAGTATAAAAACCTGGCCTGGTGAGCAGCTCAGGGCTACATGCCCTCAGGAGCTTCTAAGGCCCAACCAGTTGGTATCTGGGGACACTAGTCCCTTGTGCCAGCTGGACTGCTGAAGCAGCCTTAACCTAAAGTGGCCCCTGCACCCTTTACACACTGCAGCAGTCTGGATGTGGGGGCTGCTGCCTGACTGTGACCTGATGCCACCTGCAACAGCATCCACCCTCTTGGACC